AGCATTTTCTTAAACTTATAGCTAGGCTGTGTTATTTATGGAGATCTGACAACTAAGTTTGCTAACTCATTCTAGGAAAAGCGCTGCATATCTCATTGCTCAATATCACCATGGTCACCTTCAAAGTGCTCCCCTTGGGAAGCTATGCACACTAATGCCAGCAAGTAGTCTACTCTTCAAAGCCTTTTTGAAACACTTTTTCTGGAATTGCCCTTGGAGTTGTCGTTGCATGGATCACAAAAATATGCAACAATAATAGTGAATGCCACTCAGCAAGATGCTGCCACTGTCAATATGAACACAGCTGTGAGACACTGATAAACCAGGGTTATGAAAACTTACTGAGTTATTTGTACAGTACTGCCAATGTAAGTGCATGGTGGCAAGTTTGAGAACTTAATTGTGAGGCCTTGTATGACAACTCTGATGACCTGTTGCAACTGGAGAACGGAGTCACAATGAGGCAGACTGGGGGTCCCCTTGCACAGGGACTTTGCCCAACCACCAGGAGGTTTGTCAGACAAAGGGAGAGAAAGCCCTGCGAAATTTACACACACATGCACAGTAGTGTTCTGATCCATGAGAGAGGACACTGTATCAGCTCCTTTAGACACTAACAGGCCCCGTCTCAAGCCTAGTATCCAAAAGTATTTATTAGAAAATTGGGGGCATGTATACACAAGGCAAAAAGTGAAAAGGTAACAGTTTCATGTTCTAATTAAACAGGCAGTTCTTTGTTCAAGGAAGAAAGATATCAGGCTGAAGGACAGGGGAGTACTAAGCTACAGATCAAAGAATACTTGAGAGAGAATTTATTTATCTGTTTTATATATTTATTTATTTATTTATTTTTGAGATAGAGTCTCAGTTGCATAAGACTCAGAGTCTCACTCAGGGGTTGAGTGCCATGGCCTTATAGCTCTCAGCAACCTCAAACTCACGGGTTCAAGTGATTCTCTTGCCTCAGCCTCCAGAGTAGCTGGCACTATAGGCGTCCGCAACAGTGCTCAGCTATTTTTAGAGACAGGGTCTCACTCTTGCTCAGGCTGGTCTCCAACTCCTGAGCTCAAGCAATCTGCCCGCCTCAGCAGATTACAGGCATGAGCCACCTTGCTCACCTTTAGAGAGAATTTAATGAAGGAAAGTTATAGTCTAAGGGTTAAGGTACCTGCAGCTGCAGGGTATCTTTGGGGGAGAGTATCAGTTACTTCCTAGTTTTATTTATATTCTGTCTCTAAGCGGTTGATCCCTCTATAGACATTTCCTAGACTATTTTCTCATCTACCCTGCTGGACATTCCAATCCCCCTTCACCACCATAGGCATGCCTTGCAGTGCCTGAAACTTGGGGGCTATAGCCCCCTTGAGATTTCAGGGGAATACCAGGCTACTCTAGCTTTCACCCACAATGACATTCCAGGAAAAAAGTTCCAAAATTGCTTTAAAGGGTGGACTAGGTGCTGGCGTCAGTGCATAGCTTCCTAAGGAGAGTATTTTGAAGGTGACTGTAATGATTGATATTTAGCAGTGATATTCATAGCACTTTTTCTAGGACAGGTTCGCAAACTTAATTGTTGGAGCTTGTAATAAAGATGCAGTGATAGTCATCATAAATTTGCTTTAAAAATATTTTGATCCCTGTATGTCAGCTTGGTTAGTATCCTTATAATCCAATGCATTTTCCTTTATACATTTATAAACATTTCCCTAGGAAGGGATCTACAGCTGCCAGGCTGCCAGAAGGGTCCATGGCACCAAGAAAGGTTGACAATCTATACTTTAAGCAGCTGTCTATCAAAAGACATTTCTTTCCCAGTCATTTCCTCTTGTGACATAGAACAGTGAATCATCTTGTCCTAAGCCATTTGGCCCCTGAGAGGCCAGTGTCTAGAGAAAATAGATCCTCATGGGTAAAAGGAAAGGTGCATTTGAAATTTCGATAAGTATAGTATTGTAAAATTATGCTCTAAAGGGGCAAAGGAAATCTGGTGGCCTCAGTTGTCAGCTAAAGTGCCTATTTCCTCAGAGCCATTACAACACACAGTATTTTCTAATATGTAGATTTTTGTCAGGCTGATGGGTGAAACATGATTGCTCACCATTCACTATTACATTTTTTTTGTTTGTTTGTTTTGGTTTTTGGCAGTTTTTGGCCAGGGCTGGGTTTGAACCTGCAACCTCTGGCATATGGGGCGGGCGCCTTACTCCTTTGAGCCACAGGTGCCGCCCACCACCATTACATTTCTTTCTCTGTTGTTGTTGTTGTTTCTTTTTTCCCCAGGATCTTGCTATGTTGCCCAGACTGGACTTAAACTCCTGTGCTGAAATAATCCTCTTGCCTCAGCTTCCCGCATAACTGGGATTCACTACTGCATCTCTCTTGAAAGTGTGCCTTATTCTCTTTATTACCTGTAGTATATTCTGAGTGTGGTTGTGTCTTAGTTTATTTAACTGGACTTTTTTTTTTTTTTAGACTTCCTTTTTTTTTGAGACAGAGTCTCACTATGTTGCCCTTGGTAGAATACTGTGGTGTCACAGCTCATAGCAACCTCCAGTCTTGGGCTTAGGCAATTCTCTTGCCTCAGCCTCCCGAGTAGCTAGGACTACAGGTGCCCACCACATGCCCAGCTATTTTTTGTTGCAGTTATCATTGTTGGTTAGCTGGCCTGCGCTGGGTTCAAACCTGCCACCTTCGGTGTTTGTGGCTGG